GCATCTATTTGATTATTCTTTCTTTTCTTTTTTATTAATCTGGCTAGCAGTCTGTCTATTTTGTTAATCTTTTCAAAAAAAACAGATCCTGAAGTTATTGATTTTTTTTTGAAGGGTTTTTGTGTCTCAGTCTCCTTCAGTTCTGCTCTGATCTTAGTAATTTCTTTTCTTCTGCTAGCTTTCGAGTTTTTTTGATCTTGCTCCTCTAGCTCTTTCAATTTTGAAGATAAGGTATTGATTTTTTATCTTTCCTTGCTTCTCATGTGGGCATTTATTGCTATAAATTTTCTTCTAGACACTGCTTTAAATGTGTCCCAGAGATTCTGGTACGTTGTGTCTTCATTCTCATTAGTTTCAAAGAACATCTTTATTTCTGCCTTCATTTCATTGTTTATCCAGTCAACATTCAAAAGCCAGTTGTTCAGTTTCCATGAAGTTGTGCCATTCTGAGTTAGTTTCTTAATCCTGAGTTCTAATTTGATTGAACTGTGGTCTGAGAGACTGTTTGTTATGATTGCCATTATTTTGCATTTGCTGAGGAGTGATTTACTTCCAATTATGTGGTCGATTTTAGAGTAGGTGTGATGTGGTGCTGAGAAGAATGTATACTCTGTGTATTTGGGGTGGAGAGTTCTGTAAATGTCTATTAGGTTTGCTTGGTTCAGGTCTAAGTTCAAGTCCTGGATATCCTTGTTAATTTTCTGTCTTGTTGATCTGTCTAATGTTGACAGTGGAGTGTTAAAGTCTCCCACTCTTATTGTGTGGGAATCTAAGTCTCTTTGTAGGTCTTTAAGAACTTGCTTTATATACCTGGGTGCTCCTGTATTGGGTATGTATATATTTAGGAACGTTAGCTCTGCTTGTTGCATTGATCCTTTTACCATTATATAATGCCCTTCTTTGTCTCTTTTGATCTTTGTTGGTTTAAAGTCTATTTAATCAGAGACTAGGATTGCAGCTCCTGCTTTTTTTTTGCTTTCCATTTGCTTGGTAGATCTTCCTCCATCCCTTTATTTTGAGCCTATTTGGGTCCTTGCATGTGAGATGGGATTCCTGAATACAGCACACCAGTGGGTTTTGACTTTTTAATCCAATTTGCCAGTCTGTGTCTTTTGATAGAGGCATTTAGTCCATTTACATTTAAGGTTAACATTGCTATGTGTGAATTTGGTCCTGTGATTTTGATGCTAGCTGGTTGTTCTGCCCATTACTTGATGAAGTTTCTTCATTGTGTCAATGCTCTTTACCATTTGGTACATTTTCAGAATGGCTGGTACTGGTTGTTCCTGTCTATGTTTAGTGCTTCTTTCAGGAGCTCTTATAAGGCAGGCCTGGTGGTGATGAAATCTCTGAGCAGTTGCTTGTTCATAAAGGATTTTATTTCTCCTTCGCTTATGAAGCTTAGTTTGGCTGGATATGAAATTCTAGGTTGAAAGTTCTTTTCTTTAAGGATGTTGAATATTGGCCCCCACTCTCTTCTGGCTGTCAGGGTTTCTGTCAAGAGATCTGCTATAAGTCTGAGGGGCTTCTCTTTGTAGGTAACCTGACTTTTCTCTCTGGCTACCCTTAGCATTTTTTCCTTCATTCAACCCTGGTGAATCTGATGATTATGTGCCTTGGGGTTGCTCTTCTTGAGGAATATCTTTGTGGTGTTCTCTGTATTTTCTGAACATGAATATTGGCCTGCCTTGCTAGGCTGGGGAAGTTCTCCTGGATAGTATCCTGAAGAGTTTTCCAGCTTGGATTCATTCTCTCCATCACATTCAGGTACACCTATCAAACGTAGATTAGGTCTTTTCACATAATCCCATATTTCTTGGAGGCTTTGTTCATTTCTTTTTACTCTTTTTTCTCTGATCTTGCCTTCTGGTTTTGTTCATTGAGTTGATCTTCAAACTCTGATATCCTTTTTTCTGCTTGGTCGATTCAGCTATTGAAACTTGTGTATGCTTCACGAAGTTCTCGTGTTGTGTTTTTCAGCTCCATCAATTCCTTTATATTCCTCTCTAAGCTGTTTATTCTCTTTAGCATTTTGTCAAACCTTTTTTTAAGGTTCTTAGTTTTTTTGCATTGCATTAGAACATGTTCTTTTAGCTCAGAGAAATTTGTTATTACCCACCTTCTGAAGCCTGTTTCTGTCAATTCATCAGACTCATTCTCTATCCAGCCTTGTTTCCTTGCTGGTGAGGAGTTCTAATCCCTTGGAGGAGGAGAGGCATTCTGGTTTTGGGTGTTTTCAACCTTTTTACACTGGTTTCTTCCCATTTTTGTGGATTTATCTACCTGTGGTTTTGTAGTTGGTGACTTTCCGATGGGGTCTCTGAGTAGATGTCCTTTTTGTTGACGATGAAGTTATTTCTGTTTTTTAGTTTTCCTTCTGACAGTCAGGCCCCTCTGCTATAGGACTGCTAGAGGTCCACTCCAGACTCTGCTTGCCTGGGGATCACCTGCAGTGGCTGCAGAACAGTAAGGGTTGCTGCCAGTTTCTTCTTCTGTTATCTTTGTCCCAGAAGGATACCTACCAGATGTCAGCCTGAGCTCTCTTTTATGAAGTGTCTCTTTGAATATACGGGGGTCAGGGAGCTGCTTGAGGAGACAGTCTGTCCCTTATAGGGGCTCAAGTGCTGAGTTGTGGGCTCCATTGTTCCGTTCAGAGCTGCCGGGCAAATATGTTTAAGTTTGCTGCAGTGAAACTCATAACCATCTTTTTTTCCCAGGTGCTCTGTCCCAGGAAGTTGGGGCTTTATTTATAAGTTCCTGGTGTGCTGTTGCCTTTTTTCAGAGATGCCCTGCCCAGTGAGGGGATAGCCTGGTCACAGTCTGCCAGCCGAGGCATTGCTGAGCTGCCATGGGCTCTGCCCAGCTGCTGTGTGAACTTCCTTGCAGTTTTGTTTATAGAGGTATAGTTAGAACTGCCTCAGTAATGGCAGTCTGACTCAGTAATGGAGGACTGCCTCGGTAATGGCAGTCTGACTCAGTAATGGAGGACTGCCTCGGTAATGGCGGACTGCCTTGGTAATGGCAGACTGTCTCAGTAATGGCAGACACCCTTCCCCCAACAGAGTGGACCATCCTGGGTCCAGCTGTGCTTGCTGTGAATCTCTCAATCTGGAGCATTTCAGATTGCTGGTCTTTGTGGGGGTGGGGCCCACTGAGCCAGATCACCTAGCTCCCTGTTTCAACCCCCTTTCTTTCAGTTGAATGGGCGGCTCTGTCTCCCAGATGTTCCAGTCACCAGTTGAAATGGCACCTGGATTTGTGTGAGTTTTTGTGAGGATACCCACCGAGCCGACTGAAACAGCCATGCTGCAGACTTGTGGCACTTTTCCGCCCAGGAATCTCCTGGTCTGTGGGCAGTAGAAATTTGTTTGGAAATGTGGTAATCACTCACCCTCTGCATTTTTGCTGGGAACTGCAATCCAGAGCTATTCCTATTTGACCATCTTGGATCATCCTCTGCACCAACCCAGAGTAAATTTTTTAAATCCCTTTGAGTATCTTTTCAAGTTACCATTACCAGCACCAAAAAAAAAAAAAAAAAAAAAAAATCTAACCCCAAATGAAAGAATCCTCATTATAATTGCCACAGCTGTGGAGCTGCTGCTGTAGGCTGGGCACCAAAATTAGTGTTTAATCCGTGGCAAAGAAGGCATTGTACTCCATAGGTAGTAGATGCAAAGCAATAGAACCCAATGGTTAGAAAGAGTTTGGAGTCATGCCCTCTTACTTCCTCCATTTGAGTGTAAGACAAGTCACAGAAATTCTCCAAGCCTTACTGTCCTCATCTTTAAGTGAAAGATAATCATGCTATGTCACAGAGATGTCCTGGGAATTAAAAATAAATAAATAAATAAATAAATAAATAAAAACAGAGCAAAGTATCTCACACTTCAGCACATTTAGTGTGCTTATAAATGCTAATTTCATTTATACAGGGAAGAAGAAGCTTAAGCAACATCATTTGGCTAGGGCCCCACAGCTACCAGATAACAGACCTAGGACTGTCTGATTCTACAGGCTGTGTTTGCAATCACTCTGAATAATGCATAACAGTGAAGACTCTTATTTAGAACTGGGGAAAAGACAAAGAGAGGAGGCCCAGTCCACAATATCAGCTACAAAGCTTGGGTTGTTCTGAATGGACTGATGGAAAACAAACAATAGTGAACTCCCCCAAACATTTCCCACAGCAGCTGAGCCTGGCCAGAATCCTGATAGGCCAGACTGTCTTTCTTGATGAGTTTTCAGGGTGCCCTTTAATCAAAAAACTGAAAAGTTTACCTGGTTGTAATGAAAATAATTCTTGGCACTGCTTCCCCAGTCAAAGGCTTGAAACTTTTGGAATTTAACAGCCTAAAAGATAATAATTTGGAAAAAAAGTTATCTGACATCGAAGTTAGAGATAACAGCATAGGTAGGTTGCTGGAGCCAGCCATGACCTCAAAACCAACTTTACAGCAATAGCCAGAGTTACTCTTTATTTCCAAGGCATTATTTTAAATAAAATGGCATGGTTTTGTTCTACTTTACTGGATGACTCAATTTCTCATTGTAAGATTTTTAAGCAGCTACTACCTGATACAAGAAAGCAGCTATACACGTAAGCTGTGGATTATACTAGATCAACAGTGGCTCCTGCTAGGGGAACTTTATGCTGGCATTTTCTATTGAAATTTGCATCCTAAACTTTTTCAAAGAGTTAGTGATTTTACTTGGGAAATATAGATATGTAGATAGATACATATATACATACATATTTATATTTTATAGAGAGATGGATACATATATATATAGAGAGAAAATAATTATACAATTGGCCCTCCATATATAGTTTTGCATCTGTGGATTCAACCAAGTGATATTTTACAGATTGAAAATATTTGGAAAAAACAATAAAAGATAACAATAAAACAATAAAAAATACTAATTTTAAAGTACAGTATAACACCTACTTACCTAGCATTTACATTGTACTGGGCTTCATAAGTAAGTCATCTAGATAAAATTTAAAGCATATGAAAGGATGTTCGTAGGCTATATGCAAATACTACCCCATTTTATATAAGGGACTTGAGTATCTATCTCTAAATTTTGGTTTGGAGGGAAGTGCCTGGAGCCAGTCCACAAAGATACTTGAGGGACAACTGTATAACATTTTCTATTTACCCATTCTACTGGTCTAGTTATATTACTTAGTCAAATTTTAATGACTGTATCGATTAAACACTTTTTCTTGAGTACTGGTACCAGTACAATCACCAAGTAGAACTGCATGTCGGCTAATTCTAACTAGTTAGGGATATTAGAGCCATGAAATTGAAATTTACATTTATTTATATTTAAAATCGTATAATATAAAAATGTTAGCAAAAAGTCACTTATTTTTTAAATTCGAAATAATGCAAATCCATATTTCCTCTACACTCTCAAATTAAATGTACGTCAAGAATTAAACCCAAAACTGGCAAGCCAAATGAATTGAAAATGGTATTTTTTGGCCACAAGGTGGCGCCTGGCGAAAAGAAATATCCACTTTTTTTTTGTCAAAATTGCGTTTATGTGAAGTCTTTTCTTACCAACTGCATAAAATTCTGTTTGATGTAATAAAAGACAGAGTAAGATGATATACTACAGGAGAAATGTTTGGCATCTGCTTTTGCCATTGCAAATGACAGATATTAAATACCTGTGGTATATTTAACAAGCAATACAAAATTTGGATTCACAGCACCTGTTAATGCATCTGTTCCCCATCTTTGTCAGTGAAAATATATTGATGCAAACTATTCTGCCACTGAACACAGACAGCAGTTCATCACTTTGTGACACATCCTTCAGAATTCATATAAAGCACCAGCATGAGCATGGAAAACAAAGGTGAAACTTGCCTATAGCTCAGACTGAACTTCTAAATTTGACTTTGTGCTCAGACTCACTTAGGATTTCAAGCTATCCACTTGAAAGGGTATTTCAAAAGAAAAGTGTTACAATGACTTATATAACAAAAATATGGAAATAAGCTAAAGCCCAATAATAGATATTTGACTAAATATATCAGTATACACGAGGAGTATGCCGCTGTTATAATAGTATGATAAAACAGAAACAGAAAATGGCTTACAAATAATCTCATAAATAATATTAAATGGAAAAAGAAAATGAAACTGATATGCATCAAGGTTATATTTCTGTGATAATCATGTCACAGAGAGTATGTAGATAATGATCAGGAGGAAATGCTTATAGTATTAGGGTAAATGGTTTTAAAGTGACACTTTAAAAATTATATTTAGATCTTGAATGGTAATAAAAATGCAAACAGGTTCAACTTTTCTAGAGTACAATATGTATCAGAAGTCTTAAAGCTATACCTACTGTCTCACTACTAAGTCTACTACTATGAATGTATCACCCTAAGAAAATACTCTCACATATAACGACAGATGATATATGACTGCAAAACAACTATCATTGCAAAAAACAAAATGATAATAAAATTCAAGCATCAGAATACTGCCCTTTATGAAAAGTCCTGGAAAGGCATTTTTAATTATGGCAGAGACTGTCCCTCATGCCCATTCTTGCCTCTTCCTTTCAGTAACAGAATTCCTAAAGCTTTCCCTAAGCACACGGCTGCCAGGATAGAAACCACATCCTCATCTTCCTGCAAGCAGGCAGGCTATGACCATACTGCTCACTTCTGAGTTATCTCCTTCACACAAAGCCACTTGCCCTGAGCTACCTCTCTCCTGCCTTCCTGTGGGTTGGAAGAGACATGGAGGTGACCCAGCTGCAGCCAGGGAACTGGGTCCCTACATGACCTCACAGAAAGCAGCCACAATCCCCTCTATCATCAATCTGGGGCTCTGCTCTCTGAACTTTATTATAAGAAAGAAACTCTTTATTTAGCAGCTGTATTTTGGGGTTTCTAATACATCAGCTTAGCTTGTATCTAGCAAATATAATGGTATTTCATTAAATGAAAATTTACTTAAAAGCAGATGTAGTATGATCTGACTTTTGTCATGGAAATGATTATATTATAAAATTATAAGATTATACCAAAATATTAATAGTGACTATTGCTGGGTGCTAAACAGTCATTTTTCTTTCACTCACATATTTTCTAAAATTTCATAAAACATATTACATATATAGCAAAAGTTATCCTGAATATCTTTTATATGGTGTTCTTTAGAAGTCTTCCAAAAGTATGTTTTTTCCTTTAAAAAAAAAAAAAAAAAAAAAAAGAGCACATCAAAATCATCTAAGGTACTTATTCAAACATAGATCTCAGGATCACAGCCCTGGGAATTCAGAGTCTCCACAGGGCTCAGGCCCAAGAATCTAAGAATCTGTATTTTTAATAGCACCTTAGGTAGTTCAGAACAACACTGGAAAGATATGTTGGGATGGCTTTCCTCAAACAGGCGTGAGTACCTGGACTCTGGGCAGGGCCAGTAAGAAAGTGAGCAATAATATCAAGTCGACTCTGGGGAGCTTCAAAATTCATCAGGTTTATAAGGGGAATGGAAGATAAGCACACTAAATTTAAAAGCCCACTAAAGAATGAGGTATGACATTTATTAACAAGTTAATATGCATTATTTAAACAAAAAGTCAACTTCTGAATGTATGTAAATAAAATGGCCTTTAAGGTCAACCCCAAACTCATACCATAAGAGCCCTCAAATGCCACACCCGAATTCTAGCCTCAGCCTGCCCAGCATCCAGACCTGCCCGGCATCGAGACTTGCCCGGCATCGAGACTTGCCCACCTTCCACAGAAGCCTTTTCCTGGGCTGCCTCTTGGAGCCTGCAGCCTGTACCAGTGGCAGCCCCTGGCCAATAGCCCAGAGGAAGGAGAGCCAAAGGGAAGATCATACAAAACGCTGCACAGAGCAACCATTTTATTGACAAAAGATGGTTTAGTGGTCAGAAGAGCAAAGGGCCAGGCTGCTTTCTACAGCAAATCTGGGCTTTGCAAATATTCTAGAGGTATATTCCAGTGTAGTTATAATCTAAAGTCACCAGGTCACAAATGGGGCAGAGAGCAGTGCTCTGGCCCTCACCCTGCAGCCTTTGACCCTGGCTAGCTTCTGGGTAAGTGGGCTGGAACAAGAGCAGTAGCCTAGATGACAGCCAATCCACTGGCTCTACTGCAAACCCCATGCCAAGAGGAGGCCCAAGACACAGAAGGGTGAAGCAACGCAGGTCTGTAATATAAAATGGAGTTGTCCCAGGGCAGCCTTGGTTTCAACATCCCAAGGGCATCTGAAGTCCCAGGTCTGGTGGCCATTTGTACTTTGCTGAGGCCTGGGGTATACTGTGCATGGGCTGCTGGCGGTCACTAAACTGGTAGGAAAGCTCAGCACCTGTCTCCAGCCGGCTCAGTCACCCTCCATCATCTCTGGGGGTGCCAAAACTGCTAAGGTGACAGACATTGGGCCTTTCGGGAAAATGTGCATTAGGTAAGAGGCTCCAGGCATCCTCAAAAATGTAGGGGAATTCTAGTGACAGCGTATATGAAGAAAACAAGTGACTATCAGCATAAATGTGACCAAGGAAACAAGCAGAGATCTGAACCAAGAACCAAAAATCCTCAATATTTATGAATTTGAGAACTTTTGAAGGTTTTGGGCATTCCATAAGTGGTAAGTGTGTGCTGTCTAGCATGTCATGAACTATTTGCATTCCAGATGCCCCTCTTCTAGGCCACAGCAAACTCTGCCCCTGAGGAACTGACACTCTCAGCCTTCTAGTTCCTGTAAAGGGCCAGGCACCTGAGGCCAGGCTCTTCCTAGTTCCTTAGAGATGAGCCCCAGGGAGAGGAGAACTATAACACTGTTGGAGTTCCTGGGGCAACTGAAGAAGGAGATGAAAGTATCAGGATGTCCCGATCAGTGACTCCCAAACCTGGTGGGGCAGAAGAATCTACTAGGCAGATTTTTTAAGAATACAAATCCTCAAAAATAAAAAGGAATGAACCACTGACATACACAACATGGGTAAATCACAAAACAATTATGCTGAGTGGAAGAAGCCAGACAAAAACAAGTATAAACTGCATAGCTGTTCTCATACAAGCTCTAGAAAATGTAAACTAAGCTACAGTGACAGGAAGCAGATCAGTGGGATGGACGAGAGGGGTAGGAGGAGGTGTCATAAAGGAGCAGCAGGGACCTTTTAGGGTGATGATATATTCACTGTGTTGATTATGGTGATGGTTTCACAGGTGTATACCAACACTGAAATATATCAAATTGTCCACTTTAAATATTGTATGTCACTTATACCTCAATAAAATTTTTAAAATAATAATAAAAGTGGTGAGGCACAGTGGCTCATTCCTGTAATCCAGCACTTTGGGAAGCTGAGGGGGGCAGATCATGAGGTCAGGAGTTCAAGATCAACCTGGCCAAGATGGTGAAACCCGATCTCTACTAAAAATACAAAAATTAGCTGTGCATGGTGGCGGGTGCCTATAATCCCAGCTATTCGGGAAGCTGAGGCAGAGAATTGCTTGAACTCGGGAGGCAGAAGTTTCAGTGAGCCGAGATCATGCTGCTGCACTGCACTCCAGCCTGAGTGACAGAGCAGGAGTCAGTCTCAAAAATAAATTAATAATATTAATAATAATAATAAAAGTATAGATTCTCTAGTCCAAATGATTGGGACACAGGAGTCTTTGTTTTTAGAAGTCTGGATGGTAGCCAATCCAAGAGTTCCACTAGAATCCCAACTCCTTTTACCTTTTTAAAGCAACGTTTCATTAAGGGCGTACTTTCTAGAGCAATTCAGTGATTCTTCTGCAAGCAGTGACTGCCAGGTGTTTGGAAATTACTATTCAAGACACTTACAGTATCTTGGTTTAGGGCTTAAATGGTGAGTTGTTTCATATTTAAAATGAACTTAGTTAAAAAAAGAAATTGCACAAAATTATGTCCTGAGGTGGAAAGAAGTTCCGGTCATACTGTCAGGTGAAAAAAGAAAAGCAAGCTGTAAAACAGTAAGCAGGAGAAAAATCCATCTATTTCTACATCTACTACTGCTATCCATGTCTTTAACAGCATCTTTTTGAAAAGAGGTATAGAATAGAATGTAGAGACATTCAATATCTATAGATGTGCATTTCCTCTCCATCTAGGGTTATAGAGTGATTTTATTTTCACTTTAGGAGATTTTTGTCCTAGATGTAGTTACTAAATTTTCTAGAATGAACATGCCTTATTTATGTCATAAAATAATCAAAACTGTATTTCAATAGTCAGGGGCCCCCATTCACATCTGTGATTGGTTTAGCTCCAGTTTATCCACTGATGTTTCAAGCACATTGTGTTCTGGGCTCATGTTGAAACAGTGGTTTCTATCTCCAAAACTGCTTTAAAATCACTCTTTGTGAAGCAACACAGAAATAAAATAAATCTAGGACTCAGTGAGAAACAGATGGAGGGGAGGAAACAGGAGGAGGAAAAGAAAGAGGGAGAGAAGGAAAGGGAGAGAATATGTAAACCTGAGACTTGAAGAAGGGAGAGGAGGAAAAAGAAAGAGGTCAACCCCGTAGCTGTCTGTGAACCCATGCATAATACAGTGTGTCCCACCAAGGCTATCAAAAGCAACACAAGTGTGATGACAAAGCCCGAGACTCTGGGGAAGAAAACCAGATCAGATTTGTAAGCAGACGGTCTTTCTATCTGGGAAGGGTTTACATGCCCAGACGTTTCTGATGTTGATTTACCTAAGCCCAGCTGCACTCCTGGCATGCCTACCTGGCTCCAGTGTAACATGTTTTGCACAGAAGTTCCAGCAGGAGAATGGGTTGTATACACATCCACTCGAGACTGCAAAATAAATACATTGAAATGAAGAAAACAGCATTAAGGTGGCATTGATAATAAACATTGTGTTTTGCCCTTCAAATCACTAAAAACTAGAGCCACAATCTCAAGTTTATGAGATCAAAGGTAGAAGAAAATTATTTGCTTAAAAATCTGTCATGTAAAAATACATACAACCACACTCAGAGTACAATGTGAAGGAGGTGCAACAATATGGTAAGCATGGGACTGTATGGGTGGTCTTTACAGGGCATGTTCCTTTTCTTCTTCATGCTTTCCTGAATTTCCCAAATTTCATATAACAATTATCAGGCGAAAGAAAAATGGCACTTAAATTCCTTAGGGCCTTTATTCTAGGATTTTAACACCTGTTTTTAAAATGCTACATGACAAACTAACAAATATATTTAGAAACACCAGCATAGTATTGGCTAAGGGTTTACATTTTATAAAATAAAATGGGTTTAAATTTTATAAAATTTTTATACATACACAGACACAAGTGTGTGTGTGTGTGTGTGTGTGTGTGTGCAAGTATACACATATGTGTATGTAAATGACCATTCCAAATTTAAATACTTAGAGTAATTTTTTTAATTTGTGTATTTTAGATTCAGGAAATACACGTGCAGGCTTGTTACCAGGGTAGACTGCATGATGCTGAGATGTGGGCTTCTACTGATCCCATCACCATAGTACTCAATATTGGCTATGGTACTCAACAGGAAGTTTTCCAGCCCTTGTCCCTCTCCCTCCTTCCTTTTGGAGTCCCCAGTGTCTATTGTTCCCATCTTTATGTCTACCACTTACTTTAATTTCTAAAAGAAACAAATCACTAGAATGAATATAAATATTACAACTTAAATTGTGACAGATCTCCTCATTCAATAGTCTCCATCTAAACACAACACAGGAAGGTGACGGCCACCAGCCTGAGGATAGCAGCAGGTGGTACTGTATTCCTGGCATTGGCCAAAGTTCATTCTTGTGCCTCTCAAAGGAAAGACCCTTTAGAGTTCTGATGAGGTCAATCCTGCCTCTCCCACATCATTCAACACAAATAAGCATATTTACAGATAAAAGAAAATCAAATCTTACTATAAACAGGCATACCATATTTAAATTTCTCTCATTAAATCCACACAGAAGAAAAAAGAGATTTCCACAGAGCTCCTTCAGTATGACATGAGTGCAAACATGGGTACCCAGCCACTTCAAAAATGCACTCTGGGGAAGAAATTCTTTGTCTCCAAATAAGTCCTACAAAATAAAAAGAAACCCAAGAATATCTCAGCATGTCCTTCTGGTGCACAGGTCTCCATGACTCACCTCAGAAGCAGAGACAAACAGCCAGTGTCTCCACAGTCTCGGGAGAGACTGGCAGCCAGTGGACATTCAAACCAGGATGCTTTTGCAAAAGTTTACTAAGGCAAAATCACACACTGCAGAGGTGTATGTAAATTCTCCAAATGAAGAGAAGGAGGCAGAAAATAAAATAAGTTTACAGCAGACTTCTGCAATGGGAAAGGGCCTTAATGATCCCCTATCCCAGGGCCATCCCAAGTAGTTTTCACCTGACTCTGATGGATGGGTGGTTACTTCTAAGAAACGGTCAAAGCTGTGATTGATCAGCAATGTCTGCCAGATGTGTGTCCATCTAATTCAATGCCACTGGCCAGCAAGCCAAATCCAGTCCACTCCTTGATTTTTGTTTTTAAATTTTTTTTATTGGCCAGGCATGGTGTCTCATGCCTGTAATCCCAGCACTTTGGGAGACCAAGGCAGGAGGACTCCCTGAGCCCAGGAGTTTGAGACCAGCCTGGGCAACATGGTAAGACCCTCACCTCATTAAGTTTAAAAACAAGACGAACAAACAAAAAACATTTTTATTGTGGTAGAACATACATAATATAACATTTACCATTTTAATCATTTGAAACAGGGATCCTCAACTCCCAGACCGTGGACCAATTCCAGTCATGGCCTGTTAGGAATCAGGCCACAGAGCAGGACGTGAGTGGCTGGCAAGTTAGCCTTACCACCTGAGCTCTACCTCCTGTCAAATCAGCAGTGGCATTAGATTCTCATCGGAGCACAAACCCTACAAACTGCACATGCGAAGGATCCAGGTTGCAAGCTGCTTATGAAAATCTAATGCTTGATGATCCTAGGTAGAACAGTTTCATCCCCAAACCATCCATCACACCATCCATGAAAAAACTGTCTTCTATGAAACTGGTCCCTGGTGCCAGAATGGTTGAGGACTGCTGATTTAGAAGAGTTCAGTTTAGTGGTACTAAGTACACTCACACAGTTGTGCAACCATTGCCACTATCTTCAGAACTTTTCCATCTTCCTAAACTGAAACTCAGTACTCATTGAACAACAACTCCCCATTCCCCCTCCCCATAGCACTGCCTATTTTTATAAATAAAGTTTTATTGGAACACTACTATACTCATCTGTACACATTGTTTCTGACTGCTTTCATGTTATAATGGCAGAGTGGTGTTTTTACAAGAAACCAATGGCCCACAAAGTCAAATATATTTACTGACTGGCCCTTTCATTTACTGACTGAAAAGTTTGCCAACCCCTGGCCTACACTGTTCCTAATCAATGGTCGGTGAACCTGTGTGCAAGTATTTGCCGGGCAATCTCTACACTCTAAAGGAAGATCTTCACATACTTGTGCAATGGAAAGAGGAGAAAGATCTTCCTTATATTGAAGCCAAACCTGCCCCCTTATAATTTACACTCTTGCTCATGTCTATCCTCTAGAAGGACAAACAGAAATAAACAACCCAAATGCCTATAAAGGCAGTTTTAGAAGTTGAATTGTATCTCCCTTAAAAAATATAAAGAACCCCGAACCCACAGTATCTCAGAATTGCCATATTTGGAGATAGGCTCCTTACGGAGGAATCAAGTTAAAATGAGGTCATTAGGGTGGGCCCTAATGCAATATGATGGCTGTCCCTACAGAAAGGGGAAATTTGGGCACAGTGACAGACATGCACACAGGGAGAATGGCATGTGAAGATGAAGGCAGAAATCAGGGTGTTGCTAACAAGCAAAACAATATATTTCTTTTAGTGCATCTGTATGTATATAAATTCACATACAAGATCTTTAGGAAAAGATCCCAAAATGAGTGCTGTGTTTAATTCTGAGAAAAGTAGGAGAAGTCTTGATAGTTCAAGAGTACTTTATTTGTAATCTCTGAACTGTTCATAATGAAAATTCATGCTTCCATTACCCAGAGCATCAAAAATAAACTTAGTCAGAGGGGCTACATCTTATCTGCATGCTCTGGTCCCTGGTGCAGTAAATCTCCTATTATGTGAAGTCAGGTTTTGAGATCAGAGAGGCCATCTTTCCTGTTAAAATCTTCTAAATGGCCCATGAGAGACATCACACCTGATTTCAAGTATATATTTCTATATAGGATTTCATGTGTGTGTGTAAACATATATTTCATAAAAGACATATATAATGTATGCATAACAGACCATCTGGACTTAGCTGGCTTGAAACTCTTTTTCATGAAATCTATTTCCTCCTTGAACAG